TAGCACAGGCTGCAAGGGCATGACAGACACCCTGCTATGACTTTGTAAATGTTTCTCTTTACTTGGCCAAATGTGTGGTTTCCTTTCAACAGGGAAGTTATAAAGCTGTTCTGTTCAATACAGAATGGTTGTTATAAGCATGGCCTCAGATTTTAGATAGACTGAGCCACAATCCTGGACATAACACCTGTATTGGCTGTGTGTTTCTGGCCAAGTAGTTACCAAGTACAGGACAATTATAATAATTCAAGATCAAATATACATAAAGCATTTATGTATAAGTGCTGGGCTTGATAATCATGAATTATTAACAGAACGTTTGAAGCATCCTTTATTAAAATTGTGCTTCTAACATTGATTTTTATTTTACCTTGTATCATTTAAAAGACATGCCTTGTTTTTGGTTTTGTTTAATACATTATTAACTGCCATCCCACCCACAGAAGTCATTACAAATGATTTCAGCGCTGGGTTCTTTTGCAAGGACTCAACTCTGAAAACGTGAGTTGCCTTGCGAGCCAGACGCTGCAGTAAGCATCTTGAGGGCAGTAGCTAGGGTCACTCATCTTGACCCCCTGAGGCCTAGAACAGAGCAGACGCCTGACTTTCTGTCTAGGAAGAGCATCAGAGACAAGAAAAAGAGGGAGATAGATTCTAATAAATATGTGTAATAAATATACTGTAACATATTTTTCATAATTAGGGAGAATGCAACACATGGAAGATCAAACAGTATTAAAATGCATAACTCAAGAGCTGTTTTCAAACAAAGGCCAGCCACACTGGTGTTATACTTTCAGAACACATTGTGCTAGCAAGAATAAAGAGAGAGAGATACTGCTGTTCTATTATATTTTAATAATGTCAGTAGGCACTTTGGGCTAGAAACATAGCAACTGTTCTGAAACTGCATCTAGTTCCCTTAGAGACCTTAAGATGTACAGAGAGATTTTCGCTTGAATGCAGGAATGTCAGTTAGCAAACTCATTCCTCCCTGCCCCCATTCTCACTCTCATCCTTTCCATTTTAAAAGTTACTAAGGTACAGAAAGCATAATGTGTAATTTATAGGTTGAATCAATGCGTTTTTTTTTTAAACTCGCTGAAGCATTTTCAAATTGATTAACACGAATGAATTAATCATTTTTAGTAAGACTCCACTATATTTCACATCATACCTTTTCGATTCATATTTTTAAAGAAAATATTTATTATGTGCTTGGCACACTTCTAGGGCTTTCGTGGTCGGGTGGGAGTCTTATAAAACTCAATCAGCCATAGGCCATGGCCACTCATAGTCTAACAGGGAGAGAGAGACAGATAATTTCAGTATGTTCTGCGGGTGGTATAAGCTTAGGGGTGGGTATGTAGGACCACTGCCAGTCTAGGTGATACCCAGCACCCACTCCAGTTCCACCTTGCCCTTCTCATGAATCCTATAGCTCAGAGACCCTAGTCCTAATTTTCCCATGGCACTTGTAGCTTGTATCAAACTTCCGACACACCTCCCTGGCATATGACCTTGCACTTGTCTCAGTTACAAGGAGAGGTCCTTGATGGAAGGAACTCTGGCATAGAGTTCTGCAGAATTTCCTTAATGTTGGGCACCCATCGTAATGCTTATGCACTTGCCACATAAAGCCATACTTAGGTGGAATCTGGCGGCGACTGTTTAAGAGTAAACTCACA